GGTGGGGTGGGGGGATTAATTTATCAAAGTATCTCTTTCTTTCTGGTGGGACATTGTATCTCTGTCAGTGGTTGGTGGATGCTCTGATGAGGTTTAATTGCTCCTTGTTTCGTATCAAACAGCTATCTATCGGCCTTCTCTCTCCTTCTTCGTTTCTCCGTTTATCACTCTCTCGTAAAACCTCCAACCCCCGGCACTTAAAATAATGTGACTCATGCCTATTTGTGTTATAATTTTTGTTTTAATGCCGTCAAACTCTCACTAAATCTAAAACTTAATTCAAGGTCAAACTGAAGTTTGGGGGTTCTAGTGGCCAAGAGGTTAAGGTGTTTGCCTCTCATTCAAAAGTCCCGGGTTTGAATCCGGGTGGCGACGGTAATATTTTCTTCTCTAAAATTGTCTCCTTCCACCTACCTTCCTGCTCTCTGGCAATGTTCTGTCGTCTGCTTTCATCTCCACTTTCTGCCCCCTCCCCCTCACCTCCTTTGCCCCCTCCTCTGGGCTCCTGATTCTTTCTGCAGCATTTCTACTGCTACTCCTTGGCTCCTTCTTACTGCTGTCTTTCAGCAACACCTCTGATCTTGTGGTAAAAAAGATCTACACCTAGCCTTCTCGGACAAGGGCGAAAAATCTCGGAGGTCTCGTGCGCAAGTTGCGCACATTGAAGATCCTTTGGTGGTCTACAATCGATAAGAGTAGGCTTCGGCCGCCACCCGAAAAAAGATCAAAATTTCCTACCGACCGAAAAATGTTTAATGTTTCCCGCGCGCTCATATGACCTTATTATGCATTTGCAAGTGCCGTAAAACAGTTACAACCACTACAACAGATTCACATTTTTCCGTGCGAAATAAGTACGTATTCGTGTGTTGTCCCTATTTAATCCATTTTTTGCCAGACTTAGTTAACGATTGCAACACAAAGATTGTCGTCGCCCGCTGTTCAGACGTACTAAGCTCAAAATTTGATTTTAAGAATGAATTAGAACTAATATTATTGCTGTTTCTTAATTGGTCGTATTGATTGCTTATGCTCAAGAAATATTTTGTAGAGATTCCAAAGCTATTTGTTGAAAAAGACATGTTAAAATGCATAATGTTGGTACAAAATTGTTCAGAGAGAAACAATTGTTTTTGTTGTTTGTTTGGTTTGTTTGTTTTGTTTGTTTTGTTGGGGGTTTTTTTT